ATCATGGTTTTTCACCTAAAAAAAATTCATTTTCAATGTACTAAATTCATCATTTGTATTACTGTGTTTATCTTTATTATTGTTAACCATTCTAATCCTCCTTTGTGTTTTCTTTCTTCTTTTGTGTCTGGCTACCTTAAGTTAGCAAAATCAATGATGATTTCATAGTTTTGTTCTGGTTCAAGGCAATCTTCCTTGACTCTCGATAAATTGCAAAAGGACTCAAAATACTATGACATATTCTTCAAGTAGATGCATTTGCCACTGTGTAGCTGTGATAGTGAGATATTTTCATGTGAATGGAGAAAATTCTAACAAGCCTTTTGTTGTTAGTGATGGAAAAACCACTCAAACCACCAAAAAAGAAAACTAGAGCTGTGAACTGAAATAGTAAACATTCCTAACCCTTTCATTTTCAGTCAAACTATTATAATTTTATATTAAAAGTAAACATTTAGTTTTGTAAATTTGCATCATTTGACCTTCACCACTCAGATTAAAATTTGCCTATTTGCCTCTTCATGGTTATACTAATTAAATTAGGGGAAAAACCTCAATACAAACTAGTCCAAGATATATTTATTTTCCATGAAAATGTGAGAAAAAATGGAGACCATTGTTCCCAGACTAAGAATTGTTGACAGCAGGTGGTTTAATATCCATTTCATTAGGTCATTCCAATTTATATTAAATTTCAAGAGGCAATAAACAGTTTTAATTAGTAATGAAATGTATTTGACATTGGGGAAAAAAAAGAAATCATGCAAGGAATAATCTTTACTTAAATAGCTGTTCTGTTTTACTAGTATTGAATATTTAAATTAGTGTAAATAATTCATAATTTTTACTTGTCCTTGGCTGGATCTTCTTTTAAATTTTGAGCCAGGAAAATTTTTTCACTTTTGAAAATATTCAATATTGTTTTTGTACCTGATGAAAACTAATTATGGAAAACAGACATTTTAACAAAAAAGCATTAACTGTCAAAACTTATGCAAGGCTTTTTTCACTATAGAGCCAAATTTTACTATTTCCATAATATTGATGAATCAATGAAATTGCATGTTAAATTTTATTATTTGGGGTTTTGTTTTGTTTTGTTTTTTTGTAGATCTTAAAGAGATACTCACTGATGATTTCAGACCATGAAAACTTGAACCAAATGGCTTTTTAAAAAGAATATTTCCTTTATTGCTCAACATTTGTAATTTGATAAAATCTTTAAGAGCTGCATTTTGCATTAAATATTCAGCAAATATTCAACCTGGCCCAACTGCATTTCTTTACCAACATATAAAATTTGTCTGATATTTAAGTATTAAATATTAATGTTAGTATTATTTCTTTTGTTCACAGTAACACATACAGAAAATTACTTTTAAAGCAGCTTATCACTTGAAATTCAATACATCAGATGACCTTAAAATAGCTTTTACACAGAAATCAATGTTGATTTGAGGATTACCTGTGATTCTCAGTAAAGGAAAAATGTTTTTCATTTTGCTAATGAAAATTATTTGAATGTGTCTTTATTAACTACCATGTCATTAAAACATGTCTTATTTCTCTGTCCTAAGAACATTAATTGATAATTCATGGTAACTGTCAAGGCAACTTTGTATTTGTCAATAATTTTTCCTTTTAAGCACCAATATAAAAAAAAAACCGTAAAAATCCTTCAAGAATATTTAAGCAGAGGCAAAAGACTAGATTGTTAGTGTCTGAAATATTACTTAGTATGATTTTTCAGTTTTTATGTTAACACAGGTGTAGTTTTGAAATATACACTTAAAAAAAATAACATGTGAAGTTCTCTGACTAGATTGTTCAATTGTCAAATGTAAATATACATGTGAAAATTTCAGCCAACTCTGCAGTTGAGAATATAGCAATTAATCCAAACCTTGCACAAAGTTGACATTGTCTGTAGACTATGAATATATGGATTTTTTTTTTCATACAATGTGGAATCAATAGGCACTTTCATTGACCGTCCATTATGAATCAGCAACTGTTTTTTTTTGTTTTTTATTTTTCATGAAATTTGAAAAAGAAATGAGTATTTGTAATGTGCACCTGCTGAATAGGTGAAGGCTTCTCAACAAACTTCCTTTGATGTATCAACATTAGATTTAAATCATTATTGTTTGGAAATAGATGAAGGAAACTGAAGAAGCATGCTGATTGGATTTCTTTGTGTCCTCTGAACAGCTCTTAACTTCATTGTAAGGAGCCCTTTGAATCCAGCTAAAACTTTACAGTCAAACTCAAGCATAGGAAAATGCCCTAGAGCAAATTGCAACAAATTGTTTTTCCACACTTTGTTTGCTGTTATTCCTTTGGGAATAAAAGTTAAGTTTTTTGTCTCACAATGTAGTCACATATAATGTCGATTGCGATGTTTCAACTGCATACTGCTAGTCTTCTTCAGGCGATGAGGTACTTGACTGGTCATGCATGATCTTATAAAGCATGATGCTCTGCTGTGATTAGTCGTTTTTCAGCAGCTCTGCTTCGTGCATTTTGATCCTTGCTGTTTCGCTCAGTAATTTGCTCCCTCTGCAGTCCGCTGTTGCATAGCTCTCCTGTTGTTGTGTTTTTTGATCATGGGCATCTGCGCTTCTGGAATTTCTATTCCACTATCCCTGTTGATGTTGTTAGGGTGAAGTCTTATGAGACACAAAACGTTGCGATCTACATCATATGTGACTATTAAACCTTTTTTACAAAATATTCCTTTGGGGTTTCTTAATTATTTGCCTCAAGTAATTAAGCCACAAAATTGTTTTGTGGACAATGAAAAGTCACACATCAGCAGAGATCTTAATAAAAACAATATCACTTTGATTTTCAGGTGAACAAAGTAAGAGTTTCTTTCAAGAGCACTCATACAGTACATGACTATCCTTCTGAAGAAACTGTTGCATCAGTCTATGATGACTATGAAAGAAATGGCTCTAGGGAAATAAAAACCTTGCAAAATTATCAACCTCCTGGCCTGGTCAATATGGAAAAGCAAATTGGGCAGATGGGAGGCCATTTTCAAGACCCTGTGACAACTCCACAACAGGCTGGTAAAAGCGTTGTCACTGTTAATGAGAGTCATTCAGAGATAAAGTATGCCGATGAAGGACAAGGCTTCACAGATTCTACTGATTTTGCAAGTGCTCTGTTGTTTTAACTCATACACAGTGAGAAAATTTTCAGGATGTTGGTAAATTGTGCTCACCCATGAAATCCCATCCACATTAACATTATTCTTCACATTAACATTATTTTTCAAGCTTTAAAAATTGGACTTCAGGAGCTAATGTTGATAATTTAACTAATGAGCATCTTTTCAAAAATAAGGGGTTGTAGATATTACGTTTGTTACAAGCATCAAGTCAATACAGTTAAGGTTAGATCTTTTTAGGGTTTTTTTTTTTGTACACTATGCACAGGAAAATTAGATCAGTTTAGCAGTGCTGTCAAGACTGCAATTTCATAGACAAGTTGGAAGAATTTCATGGGGTGATTATTAGACAAACTATTGCAATGATCACACAAATCAATTATTGCGAGACAAGTTGCAAAAAAATTCAACAGCATTACAAGTGGTTATGTGTAATACCAATAGTTGTATGTACTTTCAATGAGTGAATCCCACAATAAGCTAGTACTTTCCAGCATGAAAATTATGATTGAAATTTTTTTAAGGGCTATATTATTTTGTGATTATGAACATTGACATGGAAAGAAATTGACTATTTTCAACTTATTAGACAAACCATTGTAATGACCAGGCATATCAATTATTGCACGACAAATTGCAAAAAAATTAAATAGTATTACAAGTGGTTATGTGTAATACCAATAGTTGTATGTACTTTCAATGAGTGAATCCCACAATGAGCTTGTACTTTCCAGCATGAAAATTATGATTGAAATTTCTACTAGGGGCTATATTATTTTGGGATTCTGAACAATGACATGGAAAGAAATTGACTATTTTCAACTTATGTGAAACTTGTTTAGTTATACTGATGGCAAGGTTGCAAAAAATTTAACTTGATTTACTGAAGAGTTTTTTCTGATCGTAGCAAAATTTTGCAGATTCTTATTTTGTAGAATTTGTTTCCACAGGAACATATTTCTGGGGGTTAGGGGCAAACCCTGAAAAGCAGAAAAAAAAAAAATTTGATTCAGGCTTTACACACAGTAAAGCAGATTGAAACAAGTTTTCATTAAATGTATAGTTTTGCAAAAAGTGACATAGTAATTTATTGGAAAGGACTAATCAATTACTGCCAGTCCCTGAAAGAACTGTACCAGAGTATAGCTTTCTTTGAATTAAGCACAGCAATTCACTCTGGGCTGGTCAATAATTAAAGAATTTTATTTTTAATTTGTGCATAGCAAGACATAGCAACAATCATGCATTTTTATACGTGGAATTTTTGGTTGAAAATATCACAAAATTCAGCCAGTGGAATTACTTAGCCATTCAAAAAAGCCCTATGAGAAAAGGAAAATTTTTGACAGAAACCTTTTTTAAACCAGTGTCTTTTTTCTTATTGAGTACTTCTGATCTTTACATTCTGCAATTGTATTATGAGGCACGAGTTTCTAAAAACAGATGAAAATCTTAGAAATTTGAAGATTATTCATATTCATCAATTCATTGGTAAATGCTCAACTTGAGTAAGGTTCTCTTCAAGTATAAGACTGAAATGAGTCATTTTTATCACTTTCCTTGATATCAGTTTTTTTTAGCATGAAGTTGCTTGACTTTTGAAAAATACAGCCTGCCAAATGTTTCTTGATACCAGGTTGAGCTTCATGATCCAAGAGGAACACAATTACAGTGATGCCTAACAGACCTTACTGTGTTTCTCAGAGTGTATATTTTATTGACAGATGTTTGAAATAAAGGCAAAGGGTACCTTTCTTTAATTAGAATTTTAAGGGTTGCAGAATGTAAAGAAATGAAGTAGAGAGATTGTTAATGGTAAGTTTTAAACAATTTTTTGGAATAATGTGTGTGATGTACAAAGTAAATGTAAGTATTGTGCAATAGAAGAGTGGTGTAAATAGAATGGGATGAATATTTCACTCCTGGAACTGTTGCCACATGAGTTCAATCCTTTTAATTTCTATTAAATGTAATTTTTGAGTGATGTAAAGAACTATACAATGGCTAATAAAATAATGGTTAACTGTTTTAACTTGAAATAGCATTTTTTTTTTGTTGTTGATGATGATATTTCAAAAATTTTTCAGGTCTCTGTTTACTTCTTGTTTTTGATTGCCCTTTCACAATTCTTAACTTTTAGTTAAGAAGGTACCATCAGAAGCAATACATTTTTTAAACCTGAGCCAAAGAGTGGGAAATGTGCAGAGGCTTTTCCAGGTAAATATTGGAACCTTAGTACTTCAGTGGAAAGATACGTAACAGTATCTGATCTGTGCTTCCATTTATTTGCCCCAGCTTCATATATTGTGATTACTGGAACAACAAAGGTTAGAAATTCTCATATGGCTAGTTTGTGATGACTTTTGCTGTTATCTGCCTGACTTGGGTAACCTGTAAAATCCATTCACAAACTGCAACTCTTGGTCTTTAACTTTGCGATCTAGGAACCTCCTCAGGTCATCCACACTGCACTGGCTTGATGAGGGTCCTTGCATAGCAAACATCCGCAACATGGAATGTATTCTGTCCAATGGCAGACTTTCCAGATTGGTCAGCATACCAACAATGTAAGACCAAAATACCTTGTAGAAAAAATTTAAAAAGCTCCACAAATTTTATAATTAAATGAACAACTTATATGGAAACAGGGCTGGGTTTTTTCCCATGGTGACCAAAGTTCAACTCATAAACCATGCTTAAAAGATAGCGAGCAGGTTTAGTTCTGATCAATCTTGGTTTTAATCATGTAATTTTTGGCGATTGACAAGCAGGTAGGGTAGGGTAGGGTAACACGATATGTATAAAAGCTGAAAGCTTGTGGGGTCGTGTACAATAAATTACTTTGATATTAAAAAATAGATAAAATGTTTTTTACAAAAATTACAATATATTACTTCGATCATTAGTTAAAATGTAAATAAAATGAACTTTTACAATATATATCAATAAGACAGAAAAACTAACTTAATTTCAATTATATACAAAATCGTCATGTTCAAAACTAGCAGTCAAAGCTGATAATACGTTAAATTTAGGGGCCTTAAAAAGATTAGAAGTTTTGAGCTTTTTTACAAGGTTACAAAGGCTTGTGTCAGCAAGGTCAGTGTATCTGGAAGATAGCATATTCCAAAGGACAGTGCCTCTATATAGGTAAACTTTAACCATAAAGAAGCTTTTACATCTCATTTTCTTTTCAACAACTGACAAATGTTTGCACTGATTCAATACCTGTAATTCCTCCTCCCTTTGATCATGTGAAGAAGCCATAACAGATTCTATCTCTGCATCCATGACAACTTCTGCAGACACAATTAAAAGTTTTTGCAATTAAGAACTTGTATTTTTCCATTCCACAATTTCTTTCAGATAATTATGATAAATGAATAAAGTAAAATTTAACTGTGCCATATCCAGAAGGTGGCACAAAATTTTAACCTGACAGAACACAAAAGTGAACCACAGGAAACTTGAGAACACTGTGAATCATGTTGAAAACCTCAAGCTAACACAACATCTTAATTAAAATTTTGTCCAAAAAACACATCACATACTACACAGTTTGAAGTTCTCACATCTCCTCTAAATAACATCAGTCTTCTGGCCATTTTCAAAGGTGAACCACACTTTTCAAAAGACCAGTGAATAAAGCACCTAAAGTCATAATGTCAGAAGTGATGTTGTTTGTTACAAGCAATGTTAAACTGTACATGTAACAAGTATGCCTTATCAGGCAAATACAAAAGCTTCAAGAATGAGCTGTTAACATCTGACCACTGCCATAGTCGTCCATTAACCTGTTTCCTTTCTTTGTTGGAAAAATGCACATCGAGGTGTAACCTTTTCATTGGAATGTTACTGTAAGATTGGCTAGTACTTTTGCTAATTTGTATCATTGTTAGTGCAAGTGATCAACTTAACCTGTAGCTCGTTGTTGTCCTTTTTGTTTTTCCATAACAATAAACGTGTCTGTAGACTCCTCTTTGAGAACACCCTGACTGACCCAGAATCCTAAACGCCTCCTCAGGAGACCAGGAGGAACATGCATTACGCCACTAAGCTCTTCCACAGTCCAGCGTTCTGCAAGAGTCAACATATCAAAACAGCATTCCTGTTTGAGCATAATAAGTTGATATTTCTCATGGTTGAATGACTGTGGGAGGGGACTTTTCATTCATCTATTTATTTTCCTTGTTGGAGCAATAATGTGATCTCACCGCAACTTTTTAGCACCCTTTTGTTAGATGCTTTGAAAAAGCCCCTGTTGAAAGCCTAGGTTCATTAGTTCTGCATCTCTAAAGTTAGGTGAAATAATAACCTGAGGAGTAAAATATTCTTTACACATGTCAAACATATGGGTAACTTAACAAAGGAAAGTGATGCTTGCTGAAATAACTTTCTAAAAAATTTGAGGTGAGATGACAATTTACATCTACCTCTAAGACAAGTACTTTTATTAATAGAGTCCTGTCCATCAGTTCTTCACTTGTGCTGATTTTTTACCAAAGAACATTTTTAAGTGCAACATGGTAAGGATGACAATTGTTACTTGGATAGCTTTAGTTACTTGGTCAAGGTCTACAATTTTATGTTAATAGCTTAGCTTAGCCCTGCTTAGCTGTGTAAAGTCCCTTAGACATACCTTTCTCTTGAAAATGCATAATGGCAGTGGCCTGAGTTGGTGTGACAGATAAAGACAGAGTGCGATCAGCCAGTTCAACTTCAACCTCAACCAGACCCAAATGAGGTTTCCACCTTAATGTTCGCATGCCTTTAAGGGCCTCAAATCCATGAGTATACTCATCCATGGCCCTGATATGAAAGATTACCCACATTACCTAAGGTTTCACTGTCCATTTCACATTTACAAGTAGGATGTTCTGGCACTGAGCTAAAGGAAACTTTTGGTCATTTCTGTTTTCTATAATAACTCTTGTGTCACATTTGCAACGAGTGAACTTGAAGCCTCTTTGAATCTATTGACCATCTTCCTAATGCACTACTGGACATATTGCAGATCTTGGAATGACGAATGTAACCCAGATGATCCTTTGTCCAGTGTCAACTCAAACACCAACAAATATTAAAAACATTGCCTTCACTAACAGTTTTAAGACAGTTTCAATAATATAAAGTGCACAAGTTGTGTACTTACATGATTAAGGAACAAAATAACATATTACTATCAGAGCTAATACAAATTGAAAAGAGAATTTTTTTTTAAGAATACCTTTGCACTTCCTCAGGAACTTTGAGTTTCTCTTCCCGAAATGCCGGCCAAAATACCGCAGATAAAACCATGGATGTTAAGGGAATAGCATTTGCCTGAAACATTAACCAAACAGCAATATACCTTCTCACTCTCTAATCCTGAGTGCAAATTCTCCCAACTTATGAGTAAGTCTCTTTGTCTGATACCTAGAGCTAATAATCTGGTGTTATATCAAGGAAATAATCCTGATTTGATAACTGAGAGATTTTCAATTTTAATTCCCAAGTAGTTGAGAGTCTATTAAAATTGTAAGATGAAATGACATGATACCCACTCCTGTGTGTCACCACCAAACTAGGGCCAAACTGCCCAAAAAGGGAGATCCCAGCAAAGGATACAGATCTTTTTGTTTAACAACCTGAATTATCTATCTATGTTGATTGGTTCTTACTTATAGTGCCTGTAGATCTGTGCATTAATTCACCACAGTTCTAAGTTATCACCTAGACAATGAGGTATGAGCATCAGTGACACACTCAGCTTAGCCTCAGATGCCACTATTTTGCCCTTATCACATTTTGACATCATTTGTGATCTATTACTGAACAAACACCTGGCAACATGGATTAATTTTTTGTAACCCTTAACCACCAGAAGTGATTATCAATAATTATTATCCATAATATTATGTGCAATAGGGAATGAGAATACTCAAACTTACCAGGGAGAAGTTGGTATCTCAATCTAACACCAAATTCTCCTAACTAATTTATAAGGAAATCTTATCAGCTATGGGGGGGAGGGAGAATTAACAGTCAGATCTTGAGAGTTAAAGAAATTAAGCAGGTCAGCCCCAAATACCTTTTTATTATCAGCATTTTTGGCTGATGCCTGAATATGAGAATTAATTCTTCTTGAGTCTGCCACATCTTTCAACATAATCTCACAGAAGTGTAAGTGTGATTCACCGAAGCGGAGCTTCAACAGCTCCAGATAACGAAGCTGTAAAAAAAAAATATATATATTGTGCGCTAAGAATCACGCAAATCTTATATAAATTAGACCCAATAAAAGAGAAAAAATACAAAGAACTTTTTGATAAATACTGCATATTCTATGATGATTATGGATATATTTGCTGGTTTGAAAATCAATTTATTTTGATTAGGAACTTAATATATCAATTTTGGCAAAATTGCATATTACTGGTCTCCTAAAATGCCCTGGAGACCCTTTATGGGTCAAGCACAGTAAGCAAACTTATACTAACCTCTTTTTCAGTATCATTGTTAAAGGTTGATAGAATGCGATCAGCCAAGAGTGTGCGATACTCAGACACAAACAGGTCTTTACTTCCATAAATGTTGACAAGCATGCTGTAAAGGTAGACATTAGAACAACTGAAGGTAAAAGAAGGGTCCATTTTTACTCTTTAAATACTTCACCTTTAATATAACTATTATTTATATTATTATGTTATATTAATTTTTTTCAGCAATCCTCGAGAAACATTTTGTAAGAGAATTTAAAATCTTATTTCTAAAGATCTTTATTACCTGCAAATGGGTTAAAGCAGCTAATGTGATAGCTGTATGTATGAGATAATAAGAACTGCATTTGGTTTATATCAAAGAAAACTATGGAAATCAAAATAACTAGATTAAATGAAATTAAAACATACATCTGTTCAATAATTACAATCAATGTGTTAAGAAAAATGATGAACCTGGTTTGAGTGTAACATCCATAAAAAAAGAGACCTTGAATTCAACTCACCTAATGATGTCTGGTGCTTTCCTGCTACTTAATATTTTATCTGAGAAAAGGAAAATGGAGGGAAAATTTATTATGTAAATCTAAAGATTGAGTTGCATTAGCCCTGACTCAGGAACATTTTAAATTCATTCATGGGCAAAGTAAGATACATCTCTATAACATGTGCAAATGGAAGTTTTTCAGATTGGCAGTTTTTGAGGATTTTCATTGGTAATATTTTAGCTAATTTTACATGCCTCATTTACAAAATGGTTTTGTGTAATTGTTAACGGAAAGTATAGCTTATTTCAAAATTAAAAACTCATTGATAAATTGTAAACTACCTGGATCAGCATCACTTGGGGCTGGCATCCACTTGTCATCATCATCCTCACTATCAGAAGCGCCTAAATCATCAATAGTGCGCGGATCTCCTCGCATTAATTCCTTAGTAAACAAAAGAAACAAGTTACCTGCTGAGGGCACCATTTACCTGTTATATAATAAGAACTCCCTTGTCTGTTATGAGACTACAAGAGCAAACTTGTACCACAAAAGCAAAGGTTTTATGATGACTTCTACTGGATATCTTGTTTAAATTAAATAAAATTGTATCTGACTCACCTCTGCAAGTTCTGTGCTACTGTCGTCTGTCAAACTTGTCACAATACAGCGTACAGTATCCTCACGAGTTCTGACAAAAATAAATACAGCTGATGAGGCTGTTGATTATAACAGCTTTTATTATTAATGAGTCATTAAGTGAATAATTTTATGTGGTTTACGTGTGCTTCTCACCATATTGGAAATTATTTGGTATCATTTAAAAATGATGAGCTTGTTTCTGAATTTCATCTTTACAATAGCAACTTCATTTGTAAATATTTTCATCTAGTCATGAAGGAAAATTTTTGATTGTTCTACTGAGATCTCAGTAACAGGATGAGAAGTAGGAGATTGCAGAATGTTTCTCGTTGCCTTTTTAATTATAAATTATACTAAATAAATTTGAAAACAGAAAATTATAACTGATGTGCAAGAGAAGACAGAGAGGACTGGTGCTGACATGATCAGAGATTAAAAAACTGATTTCACAGTGACAGTGCTTTCTTCAACAGGATTCACACACTCTGTCCATTGCAAACATGTCCAATGGAAACACAACTTTGCTACTTTCTTTTGTAACATGTTTTTATAGCTTTGTACCTGAGATATTGCCTGACAGGTAAACAGACATGTTCTAGAATCACTCCAGATGGATCTAGTACATGGAGAGCTCTGATGGCTGACACACACTGAGTTAGAATGTCTGATGTGTTGGCACCAGGATGAAGCAAACGTCTCTCAAACCTGCAGTATTGTTAGAACTAGATTGAGAGAACCTCAAATTGTGATGACTCAAAACCCATATACCATATGCCATAAAATTAACTTGCTTTCACAGGATACCTCAGTCTATACAACTGGTACAGAACCCAAAATAAGCACTTTTAATTTGTAATTAAAATCAGCATTGGATGAGCAGCTTAATGAGAAATTTAGGTCACTTTTTTTAAGAAATTATATTACCGTTCAGACTATCAATAACTGAGGCTTAATCTGCCTTCCCAAAATGATCGGATTATTAAGGTTTGCTGATTACTTAGTCTACATTTGAGGCTCACAAAACAATAAAATTTACAGTCATGTATAATAAAAAGTGTAGTATGATATGAACCTAAGTTATTCCAGTCCTTCTGACCAGAAATGGGTTACTTACGCAGATCTGAGAGATGATATGAGCTCTTTTCTTTGGTCAGTAACTTCTAAACATGACTGGAATAGAATGGAAAGAAGTGTGACTGATTGAGGATATCTCTAAAGATAACCCATTAGATAGTGCAATATACTAAATATCTAATAACTTAAAATATTGCTTGGTGAGTTGATGAAACAGGAAAACTTTTTCACCCATCCATTCATCCTATGAAGCACTTCAATGCATAATTTTTCTTGATGGCTAGAGACAGGCTAATTGTGCCTCTCCCTTTTTGACATTCTTGACTAAATTTACCTTAAGATCTTTAATTGTAGGGAGAGAGTCTGGATATTCCACTATTATGGTGAACAATTCACTGATTCTGAGAAGAAAGCAAGAAAAAACAAGACATTTCTTTTACTTTGTGCACTTCCTTTTTAAAACCAGTACTTATAATTGTTTCAAGAAAGGCTTACAAATTTAGAAACTAAGACAACGCTGCTCAATGACTGTACATCAGTATTTTTTCTTATAACCACAGGGTGTAAAGTGCTCCATGATTTTATAACTCAGAAATATTTGTACGAATTGTGCCTTGAAGGGCAAGTTGTAATTACCTGAGGTCAGCAAATGACTTGTACATGAAGTACTTCAGTTTGGGTTTCCATGCATCCAGTGATGTGTCCACACCTTTTATTGCATCCTTGTACAACTCTTCAGTACTTTTCTTAGGGTCAGCATTCGCTGGAGATGTTTCAGATCCATTTCAGCTTTAAATAGTCTACAGAGTACCTGTCATTGATTCATTCCTAAAACACTCACATCAACTATGGCTTTCAACATTTGGTTAAATGGAAGAAGCCATTTTTTTTAGTTGTTAATAAAGCTGATTAATTAAGAAGAGCTAATAACAACTTTTCCCAAATATAGGTACAGTGAAAGCAGTGTTGTGTTGAATAAACTCTAGAACAACATAACATGACATTCAACAAATGGCACACCAAAGTGACATTGTAAGAAAGAAGCAATGTAGCAGTAGTTTTTCTGTATTATAAATAATAGATTGTCCAACACTGTTTCATATCTGGTTTGCCTTTGATTATCTTGATCTGTTGGAAAGGACACCACTGATATTTGTACTAACTGGTAACATTAGGCATTTTTATTATTTATAAAGAATAAGTTTGGACTTTTCTTCATTGTCCTCACATGTTGTTTCTACACATACCTACCACTACCCACCACCACAGGAAAAATATAATTGAAAATTGGTTGCAGCTTGGAGTGCTGATCAAATGTGAGTTGGTGATTAAAGGTTCCTAGACACACTTACCTTGAGATTGAAAAATTGTCAAGAGCCAGCCACACAGTTCAGTATCAACCCAGTTTAACAAGGAAGACAAAAAGGATGTCTCAAATTCGCCTTTACACTTTTCATCAATTTTTCTTTGAATCTGAGAGAAAGAAAAGAACATCTCTGGAATTTAATAAAAAGACAAGTGAACATGAATTTTACTGGTTAGTGACAAAATTAGTTAGATTATTTTGATCAACCCTTTCACTTCTAGGAGTGACAATTAAGTAATTTCATCTTACAATATCAATACACAGGCAAGCAAACAAGAAATAATGACATCTGATTTAACACAAAGTTCTCAGAACTAACATTCTAATACTTTGGATTGTTACTAAATGACCCTTGTCTCCCAACCCTGAGAGTCAACCAAACAGGTAAAAAAATTATTCACCTGGGATTAAAAGTTAAAAGGAAAACATGTACTGAGCAATTTATCTACAACCTGTTGTACTGGTTTTTCAAAGAATTATACTCAGTGATTATATCTATAATATCTATCATAGCAGTAGCTTACTAAAAGAACCCAACATGTTATGTATACAATAAATGGTACCTCTACCAAAAAATATATTTTCATATTTCCCTTCACAACTGACTTTTAAAAATAATATAGGTATCCTAAAAAATTCTTACATGTCTTGCAACACATCAGCTGACTGTTGGCCGATGCCTCAATGGCATGTTGCTAGTACATTGCTTGTCAGACCTGAGTATTCTTAGGCTGAGTTCACTTACTTGGTTTTTACAAGACTATTGTTGAGAAGATGGATGTAGGGGTTGGAGGTAACCAACATGTCTGGTTGCAAGTTGTTAGTTTGTCAGCTGATGCTTTGACCAAGAACCAGTTATGTGTTGGCAATGTGTTGACATGCATATTGGTTGGATCAGACTTGTCACCATCCTCATAAACGATGTACTGAATTTTCTCAAAAACCATTATTTTTGTATTTATTTTCATGAATTTCAAAATATGGCAAGTGTGTCCAAACAAAATTGTACACTTCTTCTAAACAACAATTATACCTCCTTATGAATGACTGACAGGAAAGCTGGTTCAGCAACTCTATTTATTAGTCCAAGTGAACTGAACTGGCTGTTGAGCTGTGAAAATCCTTCAATTATGTCTTCACAATGACAACAGTCCTTCTCTTCAAAACAACCAGAGCAAGTCAGTGATTCCACATCATCATCTTCATCATCACCTTCAGCACCTAGTGATGAAGCACCTGGTGATGAAGCACCTGTCAGTTACAAGTTATCCCTAAAATTTAGCTGCACGGTCCTTAATAACATTTAAGACTTTAAATGAACCACATCATTCTATAATCACCATAATTTACAGAAGACATAATGTGGTTCGTTTAAATTTAGAGCATTTTGAGAAATATTTGCTTTAAGAGTCTGGAGATTCCCTTTGAACTGAACAAGAGCATCCAATCCATATATCTATATTTTTAGAATTAATTATTGGAAATTGTAGCAAATGCTGTTGGAGTGTGCTCAATACACATGAGTGTAGAGCGAAATACAGTTCAAAATGACTATTAAAATGAAACACACATGATTCCCTGTAACTCTGAGTTTTGTGCTTACGCACTTGTCAGACAGAGTGCGTAAGCATGAAACTCAGAGTTATAGGGAATCATGCGTGTTTCATTTTAGTCATTTTGAACTGTATTTTTAGAATTATAACTTAATTTATTTAGTAGTATTAAATAACTGTAAATATACAATTCAGCCCTTGGGTTTACTATATATTTATCAATAAACCATCCACTATTCAATTACTTAAAGGTAGATATTCATGTCAGACTGTCTAATGTGTGCAAATATTGCTGTTGTATCATCAACAAAACCATTTGAGTAAAGCATAATCCTAACCCTTTAACACCCAAGATTGAATTGTTAATTCTCCCCTCTAGCTGGTACACATTTCCTTGTAAACTAGTTACAAGAAATTAGTGTTGGATCAAGATAACAACCTCTACCTAATAAATTTGGATATTCTCATCACCTGTTTGCTGTCTTCTGAGAGTTCAAGGGTTAACTCATGCTTGGAACTTAAATTTCTGATGAATAAATCCATAGTGAAATGGATTTTCATTTTGAAAATAATATAACACTATGGATGAAATTGGTCTACTCAGTAAAACCATATACAGACTTAATTACCCTTGATGGTTTGGACATTTAAAAAGTTTCTGTCTTAATCTTCAATCGCAAGACAACAATTGAAGGCTTGATGTGTAGTTTAGGCAATACCTGATGTGTCCATTTTGTTTTCCTTTCTGCTTTTGATTTGGTATGCTTGAAATGCTTGAGTGTAGGATGCATGTACGATACCTCTGAAATGCTCAGGTATATCACAAAAGATAACAGCCCTCACAAGTCTTTCAAACTGCAGATTAAGATCACTGAAAAATAGTAAAACAATTGAACATACTGCAGTTGCGATTTCTACTGAATAATCTTGTACTCTTGTTTTAAACTGTTTCAGTTATAACAAACATTGGATGAATGTGTTTAACAGTACAGAGTAATAATTCCATGCAAAGTCCAACATATTAATGCCAGTTTACTATTAATAAATGTTTATTTACTATGTGTCACCCATAAGAGTGACTAGCCTTTAAAAAAAGTCATTCACATCACAGGGATGTGAAGAAGTTCTTGACTATTAAATATATTCTCATTAACAGCACCTTAGGAAACATATGAATGACAGTATAGAGAATATGCACACTGTTTTTGGGTATAAAGGGTTAATCATTGACCACTAAGCTGAAAAACCTCCTGAACTCTATGTTACCCTTCAGTTGGATAGGTATCCTGATAACATACCCTAATGGAAGTGATCCTGTCAAAGATTGAAGAAGATCTACAAATGGCCTGTATGCTGATAACCCTCTATAGAGATCTCCCACTGCACATAGAAGGGTGTTAAATCCTTTTGCTTCAACCTGTGAGTAGCAAGATAACCACAACATATTTTTTTTAATCACTTCCCACAAGATGACCCTTTCTCTTATCCTTATGGCATCCATAACTGTAGGTCTCAATACCAGGGCTATACTTCTTGGCTGCATATTTACCCTTGGTTCAATCTCTCCTACTTAAAACTACCATTTGCACTCATTACACCTGTGTCTCATTCCTTAAGAACAAAATCACCAAAATTGTGCAAAAAGGTCAATTCCCTACTCCAACAATATAACTGCTGTGCATTTTGTTGTAAATTGGCTAGGAGAATCTGGTGTTGTATCGATATGCCAATATCTGGCTGATAAGTAAAGGACTGAGAGAAATTCAGTTTGGTTTGTAATTGGACTGGTAATTAACAAAGTTGGACCTTCATGCACACCATCCTATTGGTCCTCAAACCAGGAAGGTGATGACCAATCACGCTCTAGAATTTTTTTTGATAGGTTTTGATGGGTGTGCATGATTGCATACAAAATGCCTATATCTTTAAAAATCCTTGGTAAAAATTTCCACACAGCCCCATACTATTGTAAAACAAATCTGTTTTCCCAATGGCAATGTACTGTTTTGTTATTGTTTTCTCTATCCAAGAACTGAATGCATAATGTAATATGGGGCTGTGCGGGAATTTTACCAAATCCTATGCTGTTATCGGGATAAGAAGTTGAATTTGGGGAAATTACAGTTAGATTTTCCTTACTCCTGGACTTTTAAGCTTCAACTTCATTCAAGGAGGTGATGATAAATTCTTCAACGTGATTACCTCTTTGTCTTCTTGGACATAGGACCAAAATTGTGGTCGAAATTTATCTTTCAAATCTTTCTTGAACTTTTCTGAAAAGGCGAAATGCGGATTCATTCAAGTTAACAGAAGGCCAAATAAACGTCACATAGAAGGTTTCATCTGTCAACCTCGTAGAACTACTGAATTATATATTTTGTCACCTACCCAAAAACCAGTCTCGCATTCGAACAAACACGTCAGGGTTTTGAGTAAACTGCTCCAAAGAATCTAGAGTTTGTCATAGAAACAATACCGATTAGTTGGTTAAATGAAAATACACAGATTTCATCATTATTTCATTGATACCTGGTGCTTGAGTAGACTCGGGAATCAAGTAGTTCATTAGAGCTTTCCAAACAACTTCAACATTCCCGCCAGCCGCCATGTTGTTTTCGTTGGCATTACTAGTACTCAGGTCTCTTGGCGAGTAGCTCCAATAGCCTTCAGTGTCGTCAAACTGAATTGACAAATTCTAAGGTAACATAGGGAAATTGGAAAACTTGCACAGAAAAAAGTAAAAATGGCATATCAAGTGGTGGATAAATCGTAAAAAATTTGATTCATTATTTTACAAATTCAAACTAACATGAATTTGAGGAACCTAAAAATCATGTCACAAAGAATAAAATTGTTGCCACGCCTCAAAGGATGTTGCTTTGTACATCGTAGCCTTAACACAGATCACCTGTGATTGCACACTCCTATCGTGTAATTTTCCTTTCCTCTCTGTTGTTGGCGGGAGCTATTAATTCCAAGTGTCACACTATTTCTTTTGGATCATACACTATTCTTGGAATTTTAATTGGATCTACTGGATAGTGGTTTTACTGCTAGACACTTGTCTGCTGTTAAGTAATTATCAGCTAATTCATCAGCTGGATAACCATTCATATGCTAGACAAGAAATACCACCTAATTTACATAAAGAAGAGAAGATAGGATCAAGAGTCTACTTAAAGACTCCCAAGTCCAGCTGAAAGGAAATTCTGTCAACTAGTAATTAATAGGGTCAGATTGCATATGCTGGCTGAATATTTGTAAATATTTACAAATTCATTCAATTGTCAAGGACACTTAACTCTCAAGATATCACTTTCCATGTTGGGTACAAACATATAACCAGCTACCAAAAACACTTAGAATTCTGCAGTGTGGTGTTGAGTAGTTGTTGTATATATAAGCTTCTAGAAATCTCCAGACTGCTCAGTCATGCTGACTTGCCCACCATAGAACTTTCTAGAACATTTCTGCAAGTCACGCACTTATTATATGATACTACTAAAATAGTTCTTATGTAAGCTTCTGGAATGTTCTAGAACATTTTGTGAAAATGTAAAAAGAATCACTAATGTAGTTGTAGTTGTTGTTGTCAGAGCAACAACTGTTTTGAAAGCTTTACTGAGAGAGAGTTACTGAGGAAGATTGCTTGTTTCAAGGAATTATGGAGACAGCAGTGAGATTGTGTTAGTGGTGAGCTGAGATATAGACTGTGGTGGGCTTAGTTAAGTTATTAACGGTTAGTATTAAGCTGCTTTAAGGAGCAGTTCCTTGTTGAGAACATGAATTCAAAGGATAACAAGAGTGTAAAGGGAACACCAGTTTTAGTACCACATGTAATGTTCCAGCAATATAAAAAGTGTGATATACATTTTTTCTCAAATCCTTGCAACATCTTACAAATCATTTTCAAGCTCATGAACATGATATTTCTGTATTGAGTCCCAAGCCCTTTGAAAAACCACTGATTTTATCGTTTCTCTGAAAATTGTCTCTATCTAATTTTAACTACACAAATATCTAAAAAACTTAAGACTATGCAGCACAAGAAACTTGCAGGGGTTTTTAGTATATTATATTATTATATCCATGATATTTAGCAAATTGGTGATATAATTGGTTTTTGAGAAAAAAAATCTTTATTAGTTCACAAAGACCAAAATTTCTCTATGGAAACTAGTTTTTATCTTTCTTATTCAAGCAGCAGATTTTTGATGAAGTAGTGACCATAGCAGTTACATCTTTCATTGCTTATTAGGTTAGAAACAAATCTATTTATTAGAATCAATTCACTCAATATTTGAAAGAAACAGAGGGTAAGCATCAGTGTATTGACAAGATTGAACAAAAATTAACCCAATCCCACCCACATTGTCCCTGGCATTTCCGTAATTTAGGTAAAATTTAGGTAAATTTTTGGGGTGTTTTAGTTTGCAATACTTCTTTCTATGAAAGCTTATTTTTACAGATCAAGGACAATCAGGACTAACTATAAAAATTTATGCATTAACAACTTTCATGATACACGAAAGGCATGTCTAAAGTATATGGTAACTAAATAATTTAATTATACCCAGGCTCTGAAAAAGTTTGAATTAAGTTGTTGTCTAACTTTATATATATAGACTTACATTTGAAATTACACATTGTGGTGGCTGTAAAGGTATTTCAGAAAATAATTGTCAAATAATGAGAAATGCAAAATTTGTCAGACAGTAATGGAAAAAGCTGTAAAGTCCAACAAGATACACTCGTCAAGGGGTAAATTTTCCTTAATCAACTTTAGCTAAATCTCATTATCATAGACATTACTTTTAGAACTCAATGGAACCCTACCCAACAAGCAAACGTGGAACAGTTTTGGGCATATATTCACTCTAAGTGACAATAAATCTTTAACAGAAAGCTTGTTCATTAAAAGCAGTTATTACACCCAATCACACCTGCTAGAAATTTGCAAGCACCTGAACCTTACATCAAACCAAATCATCATTGACCTGGACCGTAGCAAAACATTCGACTACAAAAGGTTTGGCAGTTTTGGTATCAACAACATTACCAAAAAGAATTCTAAAAAATGCCTATTAATTCTACAATTCAAACTCAAGGAAATTGTTTGGTCATTAATTTTTGTAACCAATTGGAAATGCTAGGTAATGTAAAGAGTAGGAATTACAAAGAATCTTACAACTGTTTGTAACTTGCATGTTTAACCCTTGAAGCCCTGAGAGTGGCCAGCACCTACACAAAGTTACATTGCTGAATCATTCCGTAAGATTATGAGAACACAGGAAATACTGATTTTAGGGTGTAAAGGGTTTTAAAAATAAAAATTAAAGAAGAAATCTGAAATACCCAATCACACAATGACAAAAGTTATTCCCTTGTGGCACTTAGGATGTGCTTGTGCACAGCAATGGAGTTTTCACTTTCAAACGGAAGCTTAATTTACAAAAGGATGTCTAACAATCCAAATAATGTTCTGCTGATATAAATTACTGGTTGATTATAATGTTTCGTGTGAGTTTCTACGTTTCTAAATGAAAGATAATCCTCCCTAGTTTTTCACCGCTTTACACCTGTCAGTCTTGAAGTCACGAGTACGGTAGATCCAATTCTGGAACGCTTTCGTTGAATGTGATCTAGGTAGAACACGTTTTTACCAGTTTCGTTTTCGAAGACAGGCAAATGAGCCACCATCGGTCGAACAGCGAAGGGTAACGGAGGGTTCAGAAAATCACTTATGCATAAATTATCATAAACCACCAGCTTGAAGTATCGTTTCATCCACTGCACTCAGCACAGTAAAATTGTGCATCCTTATATCTGAAATCACTTGAAATCACGCACCACTTTTCAGATGCAACCAAACTTGAAAAATTGTCACATGGAATATAAAAGTTCCTCGAGAAGGGGCCCGCACTATCAAATGAGTTACATTTGGATGAAAGTTCCATATATATAAAGAAGAAATTTCTGTTAAGAAGATCTCAAAAGCCTTGATCAACTACTTCCTCTATTCACACATTATTGATTCAAGTAAAGTTAGTTCAATGCATAGCTCTTTCATAATCCTTGCTGTCTTCTTGCATACGCTCCTAGGCAAGCACATATCCCCATGATGCCGAGAATTAGACCGATGATAAGAGCAGCAGCATCTCCGCCATCAAAAGCTGCAACCTGATCAAAAAGACCAGCCAAAATGATTGCAAGAAAAGCTAGGTATACTCTTCCGTACGCCATCTTCGATGTAACTACAGTTGTAAGCACGTGATTAGGCCACGTATGATGTCACTGTCTTTCTTAGAAATATGGACTTACCGGGTAGGGGTGGGTAGTAT